TAAAAGACCATATTTTTCTTTCCTCATCACAGTTATACAACATTAAATAGAAATGGTAAACTGTGTTTGAAAACTAGCAGGGACTATATTTTTGGCGGAATGGTTGCGTGTGAAAATATCTTCTTTTCTGCCTCTTAAAATTATTATAGAACATTGAATCTAGTTATAATTTTTACGCAATCAAAGATTAGACGAAATATTTAAATGTATGTTAAATTAATAATAAGGGACTTAAGTTTCAAAAAATATCAAATAAATAAGATTTTTCACACATAGTAGAACTATGTTGGCTTTTAAATGCCTCAAATCTAAGTAGAGATTTGAGCCAAAAATCCGTAAAAAGTGTTATTTCTCTCATAGTAAAAGATCAAAACTTTTAGTTTTTGTATCATTTTATACCTTTATGTAACAACTTTACTATATGTGAAAATTGAAAAAAGTTAAATATAGGAAGCATATAAAAATAACTAATAAATCCTAAAAATTCAAGAAAAGTAGAGGAAATTCGGATTAGCAAATATCCATTTTATATAAATTATCCATGTCAATTTGGTAATATCATCTTATAGGCCCTATATGGTAGTATCTTTTTATGCAAAAATAAAAACATTCAATCTTTTGAATTACAAGTAGGGATCGCATGATTGGAAACAGTATTTTTTTATTCTTAATGTCCAGGAAAAAAGTAATGACCTTGACCTGACCTTGCCCCTAATATTAAATGGTCAAATTTAATATCACTGAAAGCATCACTTAGTGATATTGTCCTCTTGATTCTGTGAAAATTTCATTAATTTTTAAATTCAAAGAATGTGAGAAGAATCCTACCTTAAAACAAATTTTTCAAAGTTTTCAGCATATGTGTGTATTAAGGAAATATATTTTTTAAATGTATCAAAGTACTTTCCTACTTAAATGAAATATTCTGTTTTTTATCAAGAATTATTCAATGTTTCAGTGCAAGATTATACCAAATAACAGAACATCTATATTTGTGCAGTAACATATGTTTTATTTATGATATGCATTGTAAAAAAAAAGTTTTCAATAATTTTTTCAAATCCTGAGTCAATCCCCAGAGGACGATTTTCGAGGACGATATTTCAATTCAGACAATCGAGAAGAGAAAAACGACATTTAACCAGAAGTTTTTGTCGAGACTGTAGCTCTTCTGGTTTGTACTTATCAAAAACCATTGCACTATTTTATGTATCTTTGTGTAGTCTACTTGTGTGCCAACTTATTTTGAAATCAAACTAAAACTGAAGAAGGAGTAGCGTTTTAAAGGAATTTCACAGAAAATTCTATTTTTAGTAACCATGGAAACACCGTTCATCGAAATCAAAAACCGATGCACTATTCTATGTATCTTAGTGTAGTCTACTTGTGTGCCAAGTTATATTGAAATCAGACCAAAACTGTAGAAGGAGTAGCGTTTTAAAGGAATTTCACAGAAAATTCTATTTTTAGTAACCATGGCAACACCGTTCATCGAAATCAAAAACCGATGCACTATTCTATGTATCTTAGTGTAGTCTACTTGTGTGCCAAGTTATATTGAAATCAGACCAAAACTGTAGAAGGAGTAGCGTTTTAAAGGAATTTCACAGAAAATTCTATTTTTAGCAACCACGGCAACACCGTTCATCGAAATCAAAAACCGATGCATTATTCTATGTATCTTAGTGTAGTCTACTTGTGTGCCAAGTTATGTTGAAATCAGACCAAAACTGTAGAAGGAGTAGCGTTTTAAAGGAATTTCACAGAAAATTCTATTTTTAGTAACCATGGCAACACCGTTCATCGAAATCAAAAACCGATGCACTATTCTATGTATCTTAGTGTAGTCTACTTGTGTGCCAAGTTATATTGAAATCAGACCAAAACTGTAGAAGGAGTAGCGTTTTAAAGGAATTTCACAGAAAATTCTATTTTTAGTAACCACGGCAACACCGTTTATCGAAATCAAAAACCGATGCACTATTCTATGTATCTTAGTGTAGTCTACTTGTGTGCCAAGTTATATTGAAATCAGACCAAAACTGTAGAAGGAGTAGCGTTTTAAAGGAATTTCACAGAAAATTCTATTTTTAGTAACCATGGCAACACCGTTCATCGAAATCAAAAACCGATGCACTATTCTATGTATCTTAGTGTAGTCTACTTGTGTGCCAAGTTATATTGAAATCAGACCAAAACTGTAGGAGGAGTAGCGTTTTAAAGGAATTTCACAGAAAATTCTATTTTTAGCAACCACGGCAACATCGTTCATCGAAATCAAAAACCGATGCACTATTCTATGTATCTTAGTGTAGTCTACTTGTGTGCCAAGTTATGTTGAAATCAGACCAAAACTGTAGAAGGAGTAGCGTTTTAAAGGAATGTCACAGAAAATTCTATTTTTAGTAACCACGGCAACACCGTTTATCGAAATCAAAACCCGATGCACTATTCTATGTATCTTAGTGTAGTCTACTTGTGTGCCAAGTTATATTGAAATCAGACCAAAACTGTAGAAGGAGTAGTGTTTTAAAGGAATTTCAAAGAGAATTCTATTTTTAGTAACCATGGTAACACCGTTCACCAAAATCAAGAACCGATGCACTATTCTATGTATCTTACTGTAGTCTACTTGTGTGCCAAGTTATATTGAAATCAGACCAAAACTGTAGAAGGAGTAGCGTTTTAAAGGAATTTCACAGAAAATTCTATTTTTAGTAACCATGGCAACACCGTTCATCGAAATTAAAAACTGATGCACAATTCTATGTATCTTAGTGTAGTCTACTTGTGTGCCAAGTTATATTGAAATCAGACTAAAATTGTAGGAGGAGTAGCGTTTTGAAAAATTGTTTACAGACAGACGGATAGACAGACAGACGGACGGACGCCGGACACATTACAATCGCATAAGCTCTTCTGGTCTCTGACCAGTAGAGCTAAAAATCGGAATATTGAAGAAAAGTAGTTAGGTACCTGAATACTTGAGCCGTGGTTCGAAAATGGTTAGGTACTAGGCTTATGTACAAACATATAAGCAAACAATAATGACTTTCGACAAGAGAACCATTTATTTGTTACTCTGTATTTCTTCAACGTACAGAGACAAAAAGCGACCCGATTGTCGAAGTCTTTTAGTTATCATCTACTCGAGACAATCTTCCCATGCCACCTTTGTTGTACGTTCGGTTTGACGAATCATCTAAATTTAAACTCTCCTTCGATCATGCATCCCGGAAATAACTGAACATCGTATTTTTATGTCTTTTTTTTTTTTGGAAATTCATGTACCTTTCTTTTCACGGTAAGTGAAATCGACGTCAGGCATTTTTGATAGAATAAGCGTCGGGCGCGTTTGACGTAATAACGTCACTGACGAAAATAACGTCATATAGCGTTATTTCACGTGGTATGGATAATGAAAGAAAAAGTGAGCTAGCTCACATACCCCACGCTCCCCCAAAACTTGACGGTGAAACACATAATGAAAGGCAAAGTGCACTTTAAATACATAGTATAGATCAAAAAGGGCTATAATTGCAAAAAAATCTTCACATCAAAATGTCTTGCATATGAGGACATTTAAATGTGGAATGAAGTTTCTAGATAAATAATGGAATCAATATTTCATGGCATTATACAAAAATCCAAACATTAATTTGAAGTGGTTGGGGGGGGGGGGGATTTTGAGAAACTTTCTTGAATAATAGGCAAAACTCTTTGGGATAAAATAATGGAATATGTCCTAAATATCTGCATAGGTTGACGAAACTATGTACAACAGTTTAAGAGGAGTGGTGCTGACAAACTGTTCATCTATATATTCAAAATATGGCCAAAACGTCTAAGTTGGAAAGTGTGGAAATTCCCGGAAAAATAAAGGAATTGGAATTTTCTGGTAATATGCACATCTACATATTGTGTCCTAAATATCTGCAAAGTTTAACGAAATTCTGTGCAGTGGTTTATGAGGAGTTGCGCTGACAAACTGTTCATCTCTATATTCAAGGTATGGCCAAATACCTAAGTTTTTAGTGCGGGAAGTCCCGGACAAAATGAAGGAATCGGAATTTCCTGGTAACATGCACATCTACATATTGTGTCCTAAATATCTGCAAAGTTTAACGGAATTCTGTGCAGCGGTTTATGAGGAGTTGCGCTGACGAACTTTTCATCTCTGTGTAAAAGGTATGGCCAAAAACCTAAGTTTTTAGTGCTAAAAGTCCCGGAAAAAATAAAGGAATCGGAATTTCCTGGTAATATGCACATCTACATATTGTGTCCTAAATATCTGCAAAGTGTAACGAAATTCTGTGCAGCGGTTTATGAGGAGTTGCGCTGACAAACTGTTCATCTCTATATTCAAGGTATGGCCAAATGCCTAAGTTAAAAAGTGCGGAAAGTCCCGGAAAAAATAATGGAATCGAAATTTCCTGGTAATATGCACATCTACACATTGTGTCCTAAATACCTGCAAAGTTTGACGAAATTCTGTGCAGCGGTTTATGAGGAGTTGCGCTGACAAACTGTTCATCTCTATATTCAAGGTATGGCCAAATGCCTAAGTTAAAAAGTGTGGAAATTCTCGGAAAAAATAACGGAATCGGAATTTCCTGGTAATATGCACATCTACACATTGTGTCCTAAATACCTGCAAAGTTTGACGAAATTCTGTGCAGCGGTTTATGAGGAGTTGCGCTGACAAACTGTTCATCTCGATATTCAAGGTATGGCCAAATGCCTAAGTTAAAAAGTGCGGAAATTCCCGGAAAAAATAATGGAATCGGAATTTCCTGGTAATATGCACATCTACACATTGTGTCCTAAATATCTGCAAAGTTTGACGAAATTCTGTGCAGCGGTTTATGAGGAGTTGCGCTGATAAAAAAAGAGGACTGACTGACTGACTGACTGACGGACGGGTCTAAAACATTATACCTCCCGCAACTAGTTGCGTGAGGTATAATTACCTTAAATATAATGAATATACATTCGGAACACTAACATTCCATACAGTTCCATTTACAAAGTGATTGTGATATAGAGGAGTATCCAATGAAATAAGACAGAATACAGTCCCTAAAACACATCGTCCTGCACTTGTCCATTGATTCACATAACTCCTTCATTTCGTCTGAAGCATGAAGTAATGACCCATGGGTCACAAAATACATGGCCTTTGCCTTGCGTCCATCTCGCCCTGCCCTACCCACCTCCTGCCAATAGTCCATCACAGAGTTACATGCACCCCAGTGAATGACAAGGTCAATGTCAGGGATGTTAATCCCCATAACAAAGGCAATGGTGCAGACTGCGAGTCGTATCACACTCTCTGGCTTGGAAATCTCATCCAGTATGTACTCAAGATCCTTGGAGGCCATTCCAGCATGATACAAAGCAATATGGTTGTTGCGCTGAACTTTTCTTTGTTTAAAATAGGCACCTTCTTTTAAATGGCCCAATATACCTCGGTAAAGGCGACCACCATGACTCAAGCTCCTACAATTTTGAAGAGTATAAATGCTTAAAAACATAAATTAAAGAATGACCCCTAACTTTTTATCTTACAAATGACTTTGATCATACATCTTGCTAATAGGACTAATATTTTACCTGACATATTCTAAAGTCTTCCTGGCTTTGATACCATTTTCTTTTATGTCATCAAATAGCCAATCTGATTAAAATCAGATCCTTTGATCCGCTCACATAGATCGCTACACAATGATCTGAAGAAACCCCATTCAGGGTCATCTCCTGGTGATCTTTTAATTATCCAATCAAATGTTTACTTTAAAGAATTGGAAAGGATCTCGGAATTCAGTTACAGAGGGGAAAGGCCCGATGATACACGAATAAAAAATAGTGACCTAGTTTCTGTAGCCTGTCAAGAGAAGGACCACAGTCTTTTCTGTACAGTAATATAATAAGTACTTGCTTTTGTCTTGTTTTTTAGCTCTTTGTTTTGTACGAAATGAGAAGGTCTTCTCCGCAGCTACTTCCACTTCTAATTTCGTTTCTCCGAATGTCGCTCAAGTACGACTTCTCTGATTGGTCAAAATTTCATAAATATTTTTATTAGAAAGGTCACCAGGAGATGACGGTGAATGGGATTTCTTCAGATCCTTGTATAGCGATTTATGTGAGCGGATCAAAGGATCTGATTTTAATCAGATTGTCAAATAGCCACCCAAGCTCTTCTAAAATATCTTTGGACCTTTTGTACTCTAGGTAAATGTTGCGTCTGTTGATTTTAAAGATTAAACCATAAACATCATAGCAAAAGATTTAAAAGACATTGAAAGTACAAAAATATTATGACTATAAAAATTTTAAGTTGTGATCATTTGCTGCATTACACAAAAGAAAAGTTACCTGTCAGGAGATACAGTGTACATCTTAACACCAGGTAGATGGATTCCTCTGGTTTTGTGCTTCAAAATCTGGGATGTGCAGGTTGCAGTAAGCATAAGAAATGGAGTCTTTTGAAAATGTGAACGAAGCTCTCCAAGCCTCGCAAATGTTGGTCGAAAGGTATCACCCCTTCAACATTTAAATAACTGTTCTCGCATCAGATTTGTGTATTTTTAATTTAAGATATTCTAGAAGGGTAGATGTGTGTGTTATATTGTTGACGTTAGATATATGTAATGTGAAAATATAGAGAAGGATCCAGCAAATTATAAAGAAGACCGTTAAACTATGTAATGTATGATAATTACATGTAACAAAAACCAGAAAACTTGTCAAATTTTCAAAATTTAATAAACTCTTACCAGGATTCCATGTGTGCCTCGTCTATGGCAATCAATGCAACTCTGTCACGATACAAGCTGGAATTCAGTATTATGTCTTCCCAGGACTCAAAATTCAGAAGGGTCTCTGGTGACATATATAGAATCGAATATGCACCCGTCTTTATGCCTATATAAATATTAATATTATAATACCCTTTCAGTTCAAATTGCAAGTGTTTTTTTTTCAAGCAAGCTGTACAATTTATTCATAGCTGAACACATTAAGTCATACCTTCAATAACCTCATGATTCATCTCATCCATGCCTTTGATGACAGCAGCAGGAATACCATGGTCAGAATTATGTTTGCACTGATCTATCATCAGACTTTTTAAGGGAGAAATAACTATACAAACGTGTCTTATGGCTGAGTGCTGCTGATCAAGAATTAGATGGAGCAGTAAAAAACATACACTTTTTCCGAAGCCGGTAGGGAAAACACCCACAGTATGCTTTTTTTCCTTAAACACTTTCTATAACTGAAATTTGTTCGTCTTTGAGCTCAAGTTCGAAATAAAATCGTGGTTTAATCTTTTCATCGAATACCTTCTTCACATTGAAAGCAGCCATGATTAATTTTTGTGCGGAATGGTTTTGTAAAAATTGTGCAAAACGTCATAAATTCTGCTTTCACAAGAAATAGCTCATGTGTACACATAAAACTATAAAGTTAACAGAAAGTATGCTTGAATAAGCGCTTATTACCCACGGTGTAGTACCTAAACGGTTGCTATCAGAAAAAATTGCGCGTTCGTTACTGCTATCTGAAAATTGAGCGGTTGCTAGTGGAAAAAAATGGACGAAATTGTAAGTATTTTTCTTCGCTGGCTCAACAAAATGGTCAATAATTCAATTATTAAAGTTTAGCCGCTTGGTATTTCACCCTTACGGAACGTTACATACATTTTGAAACTAACATGTATATTTAGAATTTTAATGAATTGAAGGATTGCTGATACATAAGACGAAAACTGTCGAAAGCGTTGGACACATTTACATGCACGTAAGAAATATATTAAAATTGCGTCAAAACTTTTAGATATTTGATAAAAATGAATCGACAGTTCGTTGTGTATTTGTAAATATTATTGGTATTTTATATCATTGTCCGCTTTCATGGGTTTCTTACAAGCTAGAGCGTTTTTATTAAGAGAATCTTGTGTTACGGCTACTATTAGACAACGGCACCGGTTACTATTTGAATAGGTTTAAGTTTTCAAATTTCATGAAATCACATCTTCAATTTACATATGTTATGCAATTATAGTTCCTTAAGAAAACTATATATATACCGTATATTCTTTCTTAATGATTGACTTGTCGTGTATGTTACTTTCGATCATATAATGACAAATTAATCGTATATTTATATGTACAATGTATGTTGTAGTGGAGTTTGTATGTACCGGTATACATATGTACCCTGTACACATAGGCTTTGGAACAGGGGGAGGCTAAGCCTTCCCATTTTTTTTTTTTTTTTTTGCAAAGATACAGACATAATATAGGCACTGAAAACTTGGGCTAATCTTTTTTTCATTGGACCAGGTGTAGCCCCCCCCCCCCCCCCCATCTTTCAATTTGCTTCCGACGTCTATGGCACATGCACACACACACAACTGTTTTGTGTTAGCCATTAAATCATGTGACCATTCAATTTATTATATTCCAGCTATGTTATTATGCCAGATTGATTAAATTTACGATTTGGAATTTTAAAAAATCATAATTATCGATTCACAAACCACGAGAGATTATTTGTCTCAAATATTTACGCAACCCACCTCTACAAATCCAAAAATAAACCTACAAATTAGCAATCTCTATATCTGATTTTTAAAAAAAAATATGAATTGAAAAATGAATAAAGCTCACATAAAGTTATAAAGTTTTGCTGTCCAACGTCGATAATTACTCAAGTACAAATTTTAATGAAAATATATTAAGTCAATTTACAAGAAATTCGATCGCAACAGTAAAAAGAAGTAGAAAACATTAATGTAAAAACCACGCTTTCTTTCGTGGCGGGGGGGGGGAGGCTTGTCTTTTCTTACCTATATAATTTAAAGAACTCTTAAAAGCCTAATGGGGCGAGGGGGGTAGGGGTGGCGGTGATGTTTTGAATATTGCATGTTAGTCGTTCAACGAACCATTGCATCACCGTACTTCGAAAAAGAAATATGGAATTAGAAATATTTGACAAAGCTTATACTTTAACTTTACTAGATATTATACATGTTTAAGTATACATGTAGGCTACAAAAATCCCCAAAAACTCTAACTTAAGAAAGGTTTTAAAGAAATGATTGTGATTGATTGTAAATATATATTATATGCTATTTCAAATTGATTTACGGGTCATTTCGTGAAGCTTTCTTTTTATTTGTTTAGCAATTTTTTTCGAAGATCAGCTCTACTTTGCAAAAATACGATAAATTCGAGTTACAGACGCGCCCCCTCCACATTTTGTTCCAAGCATAACCTTTACTTTCTAAAATGTTCATTGAAAGGTCTGTTGATTTTCTGCCAAGCATAACTTTTACTATATTGAAAATTTTCATTGAAGTCCCACTTTTTTATTGCAGTATAGTCAAAGAAGGGTAGGCGGTAGTGCGTGAGAAAAAATGATACTGAAAGAAGTTTGACAATTTTCCTTTTTTTCCATGTCAGCCTTTTTAAAACTAGATTTGAATTTTTCTGCCCCCCCCCCTTTCAAAATCGAAGTTACACCCCTGAGTTAAGATGGTAAAAGTCAACTACATATATAGACATCTTATTTCACATGCAAATTGTGGTATTTAAAATGTATATTTTAGACATTTGCTGCCATAAGTTTGTTTCATAACTCTGTTAATAAGGAAAATTTTCAAATAGCAGCCGATGCGATGTTTTCAGTTATTAACCGGTGCAATATATGCTAAGACCCTGATAGCAACCGTAACCTTAAAAAATCGTGTTTTATCCAAAAATTTCTTTTAACGAGGCTGGGGGGTGGCAGCCATTTTCAGACTATTTCTATCTCCTTTAAAAGAAGAGCTCCATATAAAGATATACAAAAATGATCAAAATTTAAAACTAAAATTTATGAATTTTTTCTTTGTCAAATTAATGTTGACAGCTTATGATAGCATTATCTAAAAAAATAAGTTAAATCTGGTGGTTACTTTGTCTTTAAATTATTGACCCCCCAGCCTCCTTAAAATACACTATTCAATTTTTAAAAATTATTTCCAGTATTATTATAGATTGACGCATCTTCAAATACCAAAATACCCACAATCTGAATAATAGATGATATAAAAAAGCATGAAAACTGGGTATTTATTGACTTAAGATTTGGTACAGGCTTCGGAAATTTTACTAATTCTAAATTATTAGAGGGCTATTCTGCAAATTACACATGGCAACATCTATAGAAATACCTTACTTGTTCCGTGCACCCGGACTTTTCAGAGACTATCTTGATTTGGGGTCATAATTTCACTGTTTTACAACTTGTTCTAAGAGTTTTCAACATATTTATTTCTGCTAGCAGCCGTACAATTTTCGAATAGCAACATTGAACGCGGTTTTGTTCCGATAGCAGCCGTTTAGGTACTACACCGTGTTACCGTCTTCCTTGGAAGATGGTATTGTATAGTTGAAGTTTTTTACAGTCTTCGGACTATGCACTTCCTCTCTTTTGTGATTGGTAGAAAATGCATGATGAGAAAATTTTCAATTATTTCATTGGTTGAAATGCTGTTCAAGGCAAGGGAGATGACTTTCTGATGATCTAATTTTCGTACGACTTAACAATTTTGCAAGATTTTCAATCTTTAAAAAAATGACAAAACGAACAACAAAATCAGCAATAATTAATTCCTAATAACATAATTTTTTGTATACCAATAAATAAAAAGATCTCTTTATTTTCATTATAAATAAATTTGATTTTTACTGCATGCAGGCTTTACAATTTTTTATTATTTCTTTTCCCCTTTCTTGTTTGATGAAGGGAATGGAATCAGCCGAGGTTTGCCGAAAGCTCTCGACCAGTCAAAGTTTACGGAGATGACCGAGCGACAACGGTGGTAGGGCTAATGCCAGTAAAAAAGCTAATGTAGAAATACAAAATCAAGAAATTCAAAAGAATTATACGGCCTAATAGGTGTAGATCAGTTTACTGTTTAAGATTGTTGCTAAAGACGGTAAGCTTTTTTAAAAAGCTCTACTTGTATCGTCGATTAATGTCTAAACTAAATAAGTAAACTCTTAAAAATCGTTGTCAAAGTTTATTTGTTTAGATAGAGACCGAAATCAAATCGTATGCCGATTGTTGTGAAGGTAAACACGTGAAACACTATTAGAGTTATGCCCCTTCGTCATGTGACCAAATATCGAGATCTCGCCAATAGGAAAACATGGCTGTCAGAAGGCGAATTTTTCAAAACAATGACATTCCAATGCAAAGGATGGCCGTTTGGACCCATTAAAAGGTAAATAAACTAACCAGAGTTGTGGTAAAATATATGTTCAATTAATAAATATAAATCTTTTGGCGGTTGAATGCTTAAAAAGTCAGATATCATTCCCGAAGCGAGCGACGAAAAAACGTCGCCGTAAATCGAAGATTTTTACCACGCTTGGATCTGTAGCTCTCTGGTTTGTCTATCCGAATTTTTTCAACCAGAGAGCTACAGATCTGCAGCTAATGAATAATAGAGCCAAATTTTTATCTAAATATTACGTTTGGAGGCGAAAATGAATTATATTTTGAAAATAAAGTAGTTATTTTTTTTTAATAATTTTCTTTAGTGTATTCTAAATATTTCACTAGTATTCCGATTAAAAGGTGTTTAGCAGATTAACCGATGCCACGGGAGATAACTCTTGCATCGCAAAATTTCATAAAAACGTCTATTTATTTTGCCAGAAAACTACTATCAAAAGTGCTTTTCCCACCGATTTGACCAACAGATGAAATATTTCTAGATTTAGTTAAGTGTGAATTATAGTCCTGTTAAAAATGTATTGGAAATTGCAGTTCTTTGTTTCTGACCTACATTCAATGGTTTATATAGGGGAATTCAAAAACACAAAACACAAGGATATT